ATGGGAGTTCGTGAGGAGGGATCCGAAGAGGTGCAATGGGAGGAAGAAAGAGGAGGCGGAAGGCTGGGATCAATTTGGACTGGAACTAGATCTGGAGGACATGTTTGATGGTTTGAACTTGCATGGTGAGGAAGAAGAAGACCTAGATCTTTCAGGGGAGGTAGAGGAGTTGATCAAAGAAGTGAGATGGCTTGCATTGTTCAGGGTTCATACCATGAGGCTGTTTAGTCATGCATCGCTTTTGAATGCCATGAGAAAATCATGTGCGCAGGGAGTCACCTTCAATATCAAGGGGCCAAATCTATTCTTGGCTCAGTGCCATTGTTTGGGTGATTGGAAACGAGTTATGGAGGGAGGGTCATGGCAGTTTCGAAGAGATCTAGTGGTGCTGGTTGAGTATGATGGGTACACCAATGTGGCGGACTATGCATTGAACATGTACCCTTTGTGGGCTAGGATCAAGGGGCTGCCAGATGGATTTACGAGGAAAAAGGAGTTAGTAGAGAAGGTTGCGAAGAAAGTAGGCGATCCCCCCTTTACAGTGGTGGTGAATGAAGAGAAGATCAATCCATCAAATTTTCTGAGGGTAAGGGTTTTTGTCAATGTGAATAACCCATTGGTTAGGTTCGTTCCAATTACCTTGAAGGAGAGGAAGAGATATCCGGTTAGATATGAGAAACTACCGATATTTGCTATTTCTGTGGTTGTATGGGGCATGTTGTGGAGGAGTGTGGGGATGGGATTCATGACCCGAGCTTGTGTGAATGGGGTGATTGTTACATCGGAATGGTGAGGCGTCGGGTGCAGGTGCAAGGGGTGGTAGAGGAGGAGGATGGACGCAACAGAGAGGAGGTTGTGGTACCTTTGATATGCATAACAGAGGGGAGCGGCAGAGGTGCAGGAGGAAGAGGGGAGCGCGGAGGAAGAACTGCTTCATACAGGGGGGCGTGGTAGAGGAGAGGATGCTGGCACAAGTAATGACGACATTATTGAAGGAAATATGCCCTAGAGGCAATAATAAAGTGGTTATTTTATATTTTTTTATATCATGATAAATGTTTATTATTCATGCTAGACTTCTATTAACCGGAAACTTGATACATGTGTGGATACATAGACAAAACACTGTGTCCCAAGTAAGCCTCTACTAGACTAGCTCGTTAATCAAAGATGGTTAAGTTTCCTAACCATAGACATGTGTTGTCATTTGATGAACGGGATCACATCATTAGGAGAATGATGTGATGGACAAGACCCATCCGTTAGCATAGCATATTAATCGTTCAGTTTTATTGCTATTGCTTTCTTCATGTCAAATACATATTCCTTCGACTATGAGATTACGCAACTCCCGGATACCGGAGGAAAGCCTTGTGTTCTATCAAATGTCACAACGTAACTGGGTGATTATAAAGATGTTCTACAGGTATCTCCGAAGGTATTTGTTGGGTTGGCATAGATCGAGAATAGGATTTGTCACTCTGAGTATCGGAGAGGTATCACTGGGCCCTCTCAGTAATACACATCATAAGAAGCCTTGCAAGCAAAGTGACTAATAAGTTAGTTGCAGGATGATGTATTACAGAATGAGTAAATAGACTTGCCGGTAACGATATTGAACTAGGTATGAAGATACCGACGATCGAATCTCGGGCAAATAACATACCGATGACAAAGGGAATAACATATGTTGTTATAACGGTTTGACCGATAAAGATCTTCGTAGAATATGTGGGAGCCAATATGACCATCCGGGTTCCGCTATTGGTTATTGACCGGAGAGGTGTCTCGGTCATGTCTATCTAGTTCTCGAACCCGTAGGGTCCGCACGCTTAACGTTCGATGACGATATTGTATTATATGAGTTATGTGATTTGGTGACCGAATGTTGTTCGGAGTCCCGGATGAGATCACGGACATGATAAGGAGTCTCGAAATGGTCGAGAGGTAAAGATTGATATATAGGACGATGGTATTCGGACAGCGGAAGTGTTTCGGGAAGCACCGGGTACTTATCGGGTCACCGGAAGGGGTTCCAGGAACCCCCGACAAAAGATATGGGCCTTATGGGCCAATGAGGGAAACACACCAGCCACATAGGGGCTGGTGTGCCCCCCCCCCATATGGGCTGGCCGAATTGGAGAAGGAAAGGGGAAGGAGGAAAGGAAAAAGGGAATAGGATTCCCCCTTCCCCCTCTTCCCTTCCTACTCCGAATAGGAATAGAAGAGGGGGGGTTGGCCGAATTGGGAGAGGACCCCAAGTAGGACTCCTCCCACTTGGGGCGCCCCCTTTGGCTGCCTCTCCTCCCCTCCAACCTATATATATGTGGGGAAGGGGGCGTCTACAACATAGAACAACAACTGTTAGCCGTGTGCGGCGCCCCCTCCAGAGTTTATACCCCCGGTCATATTGTCGTGGTGCTTAGGCGAAGTCCCTGCACAGATCACTTCACCATCACCGTCACCACGCCGTCGGGCTGATGGAACTCATCTACTTCCTCGACACCTTGCTGGATCAAGAGGGCAAGGAACGTCATTGAGCTGAACGTGTGTAGAACTCGGAGGTGCCGTGCGTTCGATACTTGATCGGTCGGAGCTAGAAGAAGTTCGACTACATCAACCGCGTTGTCAAACGCTTACGCTTTCGGTCTATGAGGGTACATAGACACACTCTCTCTCCCCTCGTTGCTATGGATCTCCTAGATAGATCTTGCGCGAGCGTATAATTTTTTTTGAAGTTGCATGCTACGTTCCCCAACAGTGGCATCCGAGCCAGGTCTATGCGTAGATGATATGCATGAGTAGAACACAAAGAGCTATGGGCGGTGATCGTCATGCTGCTTACCAATGTCTTATTTTGATTCGGCGGTATTGTTGGATGAAGTGGCCAGGACCAACCTTACATGACCACGTTCATGAGACCGGTTCCACCGACAGACATGCAACTAGTTTTGCATAAAGGTGGCTGGCGGGTGTATGTTTCTCCTACTTTTAGTTGAATCGAATTTGATTGCGGCCGGTCCTTGTTGAAGGTTGAAACAACAAACTTGATAAATCACTGTTGTGGTTTTCTGCCGTAGGTAAGAACAGTTCTTGCTAGAAGCCCGTAGCATCCACGTAAAACTTGCAACAACAAAATAGAGGACGTCTAACTTGTTTTTGCAGGGCATGTTGTCATGTGATATGGTCAAGACATGATGTGATATACGTTATTGTATGAGATGATCATGTTTTGTAAAAGTTATCGGCAACCGACAGGAGCCTTATGGTTGTCTCTTTATTGTATGAAATGCAAACGCCATGTAATTGCTTTACTTTATCACTATGCGGTAGCGATAGTTGTAGAAGCAATAGTTGGCGAGACGACCACGACGCAACGCTGGAGATCAAGGTGTCGAGCCGGTGACAATGGAGATCATGACGATGCTTTGGAGGTGGAGATCAAAAGCACAAGATGATGATGGCCATATCATGTCACATATTTAGATTGCAGTGATGTTTATCTTTTATGCATCTTATTTTGCTTAGTACGATAATAGCATTATAAGATGATCCCTTAACTAAAATTTCAAGGTGTATAAGTGTTCTCCCTGAGTATGCACCATTGCGACAGTTCTTCATCCTGAGACACCACGTGATGATCGGGTGTGATAGGCTCTACGTTCACATACAGCTGGTGCAAGACAGTTTTGCACATGCGGAATATTCGGGTTAAACTTGATGAGCCTAGAATGTACATACATGGCCTCGGAACATTGGAGACTGAAAGGTTGAACGTGAATCAGATAGTAGATATGATCAACATAGAGATGTTCACCATTGATGACTACTCCATCTCACGTGATGATCAGACATGGTTTAATTGATTTGGATCATGTATCATTTAGATGACTTGAGGGATGTCTTTATAAGTGGGAGTTCTTAAGTAATTTGTTTAATTTAACTTAATTTATCATGAACTTGGTCCTAATAGTATTTGCAAATTATGTTGTGATCAATAACTCGCACTGTAGCCCCCTATGTTTTTT